AGAAGAAAGGAGTGAAAGGAAGAAAGAGTAAAAAAATCGTTGCTCTTTCTAGAAATTGAATGAGTGTTCTAGAATTACAAATTATAGAACTTACCTCCTATAATCCAGAATTGTTGAGTGATATGTGAAGAAAGGAAAAAGAATTGGATGTATATATTGTAAAAGTGTGAAAAATCTGAAAAATCATGTTTTTGGGACTCCAACGAAGAAGGATTAGTGGGTTAGGAGTTGAGATCATGGGACAACATCGTGGGTTGTTTGAAGTTCAGACCCCTTAGGGTTTAGAATTTTACATGAAAAGGCACGCATGAATGGAGTTGATTCCTTGTTGGTAACTTCTTAAGTTTTATTCCTTGTTAGTAAACTAATTTTAAAGAATGTAAAAAAATTGATATATTTATTTTTAAACATCCACAATCGTAACTTCCTATTCCCGAATTCTATTCCTTTCTTTGTAACTTCTTTGTTGGTAAGTTAATTTTTTTAAAAGCAAAAAATAAATATTGTATTATTTTGAAATTCAAATGTAAAAGTAAACTAATTTTAACTAAAATAACTAATTATGTCCTAAAATTGCCATATGGCATTTTCTTCACACGACACATGGCGAATTCTCACGGCCGACTTCTTTCTTTTTAATAATAGATAGATTCTATTCCTTTCTTTATAACTTCTTTGTTGGTAAGTTAATTTGTTTAAAAGTAAAAAATAAATATTGTATTATTTTAAAATTTAAATTTAAAAAGTAAATTAATTTTAACTAAAATAACTAATTATGTCCTAAAATTGCCATATAGCATTTTCTTCACACGACACGTGGCGAATTCTCACGGCCGACTTCTTTCTTTTTAATAATAGAAGATACTGGTCGCAAACTGAAATCAAAATCTAGGGCTCTGTAAATATGAAAGTGGAGGACTCGACGTCTATGGCCAGAAGTTTGAGTAACCAATCCATGGAGAAAATATCAGACAGGCTTTCAGGACTTGATAACCTCTATTTCCCACGCGCTCAGCAACCATCCGCCTCCACTGCCTCCCAACGGAAATCCCTTCTTCTGGACCTTCTCACGCGCGACGTGCCGCTTTTTTTAGGTACTCTTCCCATGTCTATATACTCCATTAATATGCACTTTTGCTCGCCATATGTGTGTATTCTATGTGGCTGATAGTATGCAGTTAACTTTAACTTCGTGGCCTAGCCAGAAATCTGCTTAAGTGGCTTTTAGTTCATACATTGTGATGGAGCATTTTTTCTTTCTATGTAGTCTATACAATAGCCTTAATTTCGAAATTTCTCTTCGGATAATTACAAGTTTGAAGTAAATAGGATAATTTAGATTTTAGAACCCCTCCCCTCTAATCCAGCACTTTCAATTATCAAAGGAGACAACTTTGCTTATTTGAAATTAGAGAATTTCTTGTTGAAGTATGCTTTTCCTAGAAGAAATCTTAGTAGTGGCATTAGACCTTTACCCATATGGATGTTTACGTTAGCAGCGGCGGAGCCAAAATTTGACGCTTAGGGGTTCAGGATTCTAGCCTTTTTGAGTTGCGAGGTTCTAAATTTACATTTCTATACATATTAAATGGATTTTAAAGACAAATCCTGAGTTTGGACCAAGGCTACTGGGTTGGCGGAACTCGTACCTTGGTCTCTAGCTCCGCCCTTGTTTGTCAGAGTTGTCAAAGGTGAGAGGTGCAATTAAAGTGTGATCTCCAGCGGTGACAGGAACTAATAAAGAAATAAGAAATAAAAATATATGTAATGCAAGGAAAGATCATTATAAGCATAATACTCCTTTAGACAAAAGATTGAAAAGCTAATAATGGAGCGAAATATATGAGGTAAAATCTCGGTTAGTTAAGTTCAAAACAATTTTGAATTTTTGATATATACGTAATGATGTAGTTCGAAGTACTCACTTGCAAGTTTTCTGATACTGAATTTTTAATTTCTTATTCCTTAATCATTATAATATCTGGTGCTATCTTGTTAGAAACAAAGACCATGAGCCATGCGGCTCATGCCCTTTTGGCCTGGTGTGACTTGTGAGTGCCACCAAAGTGGGGCAAAGTATCCAACATGAGCTTCCCTCCTTAAGCGAGCCTTTTACTCAGCACTGATGTTTGTTCACATGTTGAAAGCCATTTTTGAGAGATTAAAGAATTGACAGACAGGAGAGAAGCCAAATATATAAATCTTAAAGAAAATTGTGGGAAAACGTAGGTTATTATGCTCCAAACTCATGCAACTTTGTAACTTCGTATCGACTGAAATTGCCCCAGTACTTACTCTCTCTTTGTATGTTCTAGGGTTCAGCTTGAAAATTCTTAGGTTCCAGTAAATGTGCTTATATTTGATTCGCCGTGTTCTTGTGGGATGTTGACCTCACTAAAGGCCAGATAGCTAGTTTGCTGAACTTGAAGTTTTTAGCTGAAACATTATCTACATTATTTTTCTGAATAAAGAACATTATAAACATCATTAGCATGTGTTTCTAAATATATCTTTTTTTATTCTTGGAATCTCAGAACGTTATGGATCACAGTTAACATCAGATGATCTTAATGAATTTGAAGCGTTAAAAAATGATTATGAAATCAATTGGCATCTGAATCGTCTGCGAAGTGTTATTAGCCCAACACAAGAAGATTTGAAGTCCAGGTCAGTTAAGATTAAGAACAGACGGCGAGCATATCTGGACAAATTAGTAAACGATGGACAGTACTTTTCAGAGGACGCAATGAGGGAACGAGAGCCATATTTGCACCATGAGTATGTTGGGAAGTTCCAAGATCCAAGTGGGAGGAGCATGGCAAGACCAGGGGAACGATGGTCTGAGACTCTGATGAGGCGGTCAGAAGAGGCAATGCTTGTTAAAAAAATTAGGGATGAACAGCAGAGACGAGGTGTGGCTCAAAGTGATTGGGTAGGATTTGACAATCAGGAACTTGAAAAGGTGGAGGAAGAGGAGGAAGAAGAAGAAAGCGAGGAGGAAGAAGAAGAACAAGATGACGAGGAGCAGGAGCAATACGAAGGTGAAAGGGACATCTCAGCTAATAGACAAGAGGTAGTTGCTGCACCTTTTCTCTTTTTATAGATAGTATACCAAAATATTTGTTCTGTCTGTCTGCTGGTTAATTTTAGTTGAAATGCTAACTTGCAGGTTAGTTTTTGGAGGGTGTTTGGCTAAGCTTATAAGCGGATGAAACTGGTTTAAGCACCTTTTGGCTTATCTACACGTTTGGTAAACATCCAAAGTGCTTATAAGCCAAAATCAGCCACAAGTCATAAGTTGGTCACCCCTAATTTATGGCTTTTGAGCTTACAAGCTCTTTTAGTTTGTCCATGACTTTTGCTATTTTATCCTTAATAATATTTTATAATTCATTATATTTTGTGGAAACTTTAGGGGTATTTTAGTTGTTTTAACAAAAGGACAGCTTATCAGCATTTTTTAACCAAACATGTCGACTGCTTATTACAACACTTCTATCTGAACACGTAGCTGCTTATTTATAAAATCAATTTCAACACTTAAAAATGCTTTTCAGCATTTCAAGCTTATCAGTTATCTACAATCAACTAAACTAAACCAAACTGGCTCTTAGTAGGTATTCATAGTTGTCTCGTATCTGGTTATTATAGTGCAGTTACGCCGAGGAATTTATGGGGTTCTGGTTATTTAGTGTACACGATGCATTTTAAGATGTAGACAATCATGTAACTCTGAACAAGCTAATTCAAGAGTAACCTTATACAGTGGCTATACGGAATGAAAGAAAATAAATTGGTTATGTTTTATCGAATCTGGAAAACTATTTTTATATTTTTGTTATGGTTGAGTAGGAATGGGAACATTGGTTGGAGGTACTTTTAGTAATGTGTAGGGGTTACAGCATAAGGAGTTGCTCTTGTAGTACTTTGCCTAAAGTTTAGAAAGTTTTAGCTAATGAAGCCCAAGTCTTTGTAACTTCCGACCCACTTATCTTTGCACTTTGCCCTAAGAGTTAACAAACTCTGGAGAGCTATGAAGTTATGCTTCTTAATTGCAAGTTTGAAAGTCCTACAAGGCTGCCTATTAAGTTGTGCCAACTTGGGTTGGGAGGGGGGGGGGGGGGGATGTACTATTCGTAGCTGTCTAACTTAAAGCGCTGTCTTTCCATTGAAATTGAGAAGTAAAAGTGTGTGTTGAAAAGAGTGTATGATTTTTAGGTCACTTCAGCTGAAAAGTTGATGTTTTAAGAGCTTATGGTGGAAACCTTTTATGAGATCTCCCAGATATCTGCTTGTTGTAAAAAGCAGAGTGGAGGTCATCTTTGTGCCTTTTAGTTTCTGGTGTGTGGTGCTTTTGCTTGCTCATAATCGAGTTCCTACGTACACTTCAGTGAATTAAGGCCTTCTTCAGTGAATTAAGTCTGTCTCTTGCTTAACATGGGGGCCAAAGGAATGCCAGGAGATCCTTGCATGTTATCTTTTTCAAGGATTTTATGCTGGTTTCACCCCTCTCCTTTCTCTGTGCTTTTGCCTTCATATTCCTGGAGGCTAAGTGTCCAAGTATATCTTGTATAGGGCGCGTCACAATTTTCATTCTCAAATCACGACCATTATTTCCTTGTTTATTGACTCATTCCAGTTTTACTGAAGCTGTGAAGCTCAAGTTAGAGATATATTTTGGTTTCGTTGCCTGCATGTTTGCATGTCAGTAGTACTCTCACAACTTTTATTTTTCAAAATATCGTAGATCATTTTTTTTGTTTAGCCTGTTACCCTTACTTTTCCTACTTATCAGTGAATGATCCATTCCTTTTCCTATCAAATTTGAAGGTTCACCCAAACAACCTTGATGCTTCTAATGACACGCCATCTGAAACGAGAAGACCTGCTGTGATGGAAACTTTGTCAACGGAGGAGATGCAAGAACGAATGGACCAGTTCGCTTACATCATGCAGCAAAAGTTTTTATTGGGAGAAGATAGTCTGGATTACTCAAAAATTGACGAGGATGAGACCTTGGATGATCATTGGATGAAAGAAGAAAATTATGATGCTGAAGAAAAGTACTTTGATGATGATGACTGAGCTTAAATACTGACATGACGTAGGGTGTGATTTTTGTTTTTGACATTATACAAGTTTCTACCATGTATATGTTGTTAGCCTTTTATGCAGATATGCTTAGGTTTTGTGGCTGAAGGCAGTTTTTGTAAGGGTTGTCGATGGCTAGGATTTGGTTCTTGTAGTTGCTTCCGAGTTCTGAGCCATCTTCTTGTGTTAACCTTACAGTTTCTTGATTTCTGGGAGTAGCTAGTAAGTTTATATTACAATTCACACGAGAGTGAAAGAGACACTGAAATGCTAACTTAGCAGCCACACAAGAGGAGGATAGAGATTCTTGTCAAGATAAGTGACATTGTGCTCAAGTCGAAGAATTTGGAATTACTTTGATAGCAAGGAATCTATGCCAATTGATAATTAGAAAACTTAGTGATTTGAGAAGCTTCCTTGTTTGGATTGATTTTATTGGTCTCTGTACAATAACTGACTTTATTGGACATATTTGTTGTTTGGGAGTAGGGATTGTACATGTTGATGTAGAGTGAGTGGCTGCTACTCCAATTCCATACAAAGATTTGAAAAGCAAAATTACTCGATACATGTACGAGCGAGAAGTAGCAGATGGCATGGACATCGCCATTATGAAAAAAACTGCATGACTATTAAGTCAACTTTAATCACTAGTGCTCTGTTGTTCATCAAAGAAATAAAATAGAAAGACGATCAATTTAATCCCTGAAATTACAACAATAGGTTACATTACCAAATTGACATGCACAAAAAATTATTCAAATTACTACAGAGTCCCTTGTGAAGTAAGCAGTGACAAAAAATACACGTATACAATCGCACCAAGATAAAATCCCCAAGCGACAGTATACTAGCATTACCCATCCGAAAAAATCGTCTAAGCAAAGCTAAGCTCTTCCCGCCGGTATATTATCACCTTCTCCGGTCAGAATTCCCTCTTTTTCTATCTCTTCAAAAATCACGGATAAGCATAAATTAGAGAGAGAAATGGGATAACACTCTCCCTTCATCAAAAAGCCTAATTTCTCTCTCCTCGTTCGTTTTCTCCGATACCGAAACCCTAGGGTTCGAGTGATTTCAAGCGTCGTGAAAGCTGAGGAGAGAGAGATGTACAAAGAAAGGAGAGGTGGTGGTGGATCGAAGGCGGAGATGGGACATGTAGTAGGTGATAGGAAGAGATTAAATGAAGCGTTGGATAAGCACTTGGAGCGGTCCTCTCCTTCTACCTCCACTACTACTGTTAGGTGCACTAACGGCAAGGATAATCGCTTTTCCATTTCCAAATCAAAGGACCAGCTCAGGAACTCTGCTGCTCCTCCTCCTGATAATAAGTGCTCTGATGGTATATATATACACACACAGACACACACTATACTCCTTCCATTCCTATTTTATACTAATGTTAATTGACTTGCACAGAGTTTAAAATGCTAATTTAACTCATACACACACAAACACACATGTATGCACGTAGTTTTTTAGATAGTATTAGTGATAGTGGAAAAATATATAATTTTCTTTTGAAAATGGAAGAACAATAATAGAGTGATGGTTGAAAAGTTCAATAAGGAAAATATCACCACAAAGTTTTAACATTTGGATAGTTTAAGGAATTTGAATTCTTGAAAGTTGTGAAAGTTTGTATGGAAATGGAGTAATGTTAAACATTTTAGACATCTCAAAGTGGAATTAAAACATCTTTATATAAGTTGGAACAAAGTCTTGAGCACACCTCGACTAATTCCATCGCATACCTGCCACCTTCCACTAGCACAGATATCGGGTAATTGTACCCACTAAGGTTTGGGTAGATAGGAAGAGATCACTGAGATTTGAACATGAGGCCTCATGGTTCTCCCCCACTTTATTAACCACTAGGCCACACCCTTGGTTGCGGTTGTTGTTGCTTTTCTTTTTTCAATGTGTGATGTTTGTTGGCCTCTAGTGCACAATTTGAAATTTAGTTTAATGGTTATAGGTTTCAGTTGGAAAGAGCATTGATAATCAGAATCACATTTTTAAGGCATGATGTAAACTTGAGGAGTTTACAAGTGTTAAGCTTTTTCTGCATTGGGGTACTGATGAAGAATGTGGCGATATCGAAGCTTCATGTGGTCGTATGTTGATTCTGGTGCTAGTCTTGTTGTTATTATAGCTTCAGGGTAACACATGTCTTTTTAATCATTTTAATGTCTGAACTCTCTGGATGACGAGAAAATAAAAAAGGTGTGAGTTGATTGCAATGGCATAAGCTTTTCTGGAGTTCAATTGGTAGAAGCATTAATTCACCATGTTAGAGACTTGGTGAAAATAAAAGGATGGTTTTATTGCAGTATCACCTATCCATTTGTTATGTATGGATGAAATTTTTAATGGTAGTTTTACGTAGATGATATGCATGTAGTCAGTGAAACAACTCAGGCGAATATTCAAGGATGAAAAATATTTGGAGGCATAGGAGATTCGTTTAGCTATAATCAGTGTAACAACTCCAGCGAAGCTTTATGTTTTTTTTGCTCTTTTTCCTTCTTTTGACATTTCTTAGTGTGGTGGATCATGGATGGGCATCTGTCAGTCGAATGAGACTACGGCATGCCAGTCATTTTATATCTAATTGTTTTCTTTGAAGGTTTCGTGATTCATTATACTAGAGGGTTACAACTAAGGTCCTGATGTAGGACATATACCAAAAAAAAGTCCCTGATATAGGACCCTCATGTTTAGTGATTGACTGATTGTTATGGCATTTACCCTTAGAATTTTCCAAGTTCAAGAGAATGGTCACTCTGAGAGCTAAAAAGTTGGTAACATGCAGTGACTGTTTATTAATGAACATTTGAGAGGATCACATGTCTGCATTTTTTGCTCCTGATTCCCTGGCCGACTCCCAGCCTAATTCTTTTTGGTTATATGCTCAAAAGAAAAAAGGACGTCAAATAAACCTCGTCTCCTCTACCCAGTTTCCACTAGTCAAACTGTCAAACGACTCCAGATTCAAAGGTATTGTTTCTAATTTTCAAACATTTACTAAATTTAGAAATGCATCTCCAAAGTACAGCACTTCCAAAAAGAGATTGAAAGCGTGCTAGTAAGTACTCGTACCCAATAACCTAAAAGGTGCTAGGGTCAATTCTCATCCATGTTCCTCCCGTTCCCTTCTAGTGTTGCTTTTCATCTTCTTGAGCCGAGGGTCTATCGAAAACAACCCCTCTACCTCCCCCAAGGGTAGGGGTAAGGCCTGCGTACACACTACCCTCCCAAGATCCCACTTGTGTGACTCCACTGGGTTTTTCGTTGTTGTTGTTGTTGGTCCTCCCATTCCCATCCATGCTCTCAGCTAAACAAGAAAAAAACAACAATAATAAATTATAATGAAAAATGATAAAATCATACACAAGTAGAACATCTTAAATTAGCTTATTCCTCATGAGTGAACTCTTCAAATCAAAACTAATCCTTCTTTTAGTATTTAAAGTTGGTAAATATAAAATCTAAAGAAAATTTTAATAATTTGAAACTTTTAATTGGCTGGTTTGACCAGTCAATCCATCAACTAGGTTTTGATATAAATTAGTTGGGATCAGGCGAATGAATCATCTGTAGTTTTGATAATGCGACTTTCAAGTCAAAAATGTTATGTTCGATAGCAAGTGTGAAAACTTTGAGCCGAGCTGTTTAAGTTGGACTGCCATAAGTGTGAGTTATTCAGATAATCAGACCTTTTGATTGTCAGTTTATGATCTTGTTGCTGGAAAATTAATTGTAATCCATAAGCTATTAGGATAAGGGGATCATAATTTATAATATAAGTTTCGTTGAGCAGGTAAATTGATTTTTCCTAAACCTTCATGTTAAAGTTTGTGCTTGTGTTTCCGTTTTGCAGCAGAATCTGAAACAGACAGCGAGGCATCAGATATTAGTGGTTCTGAAGGAGAAGACACTTCATGGATCTCATGGTACTGCGGCCTACGTGGGAATGAGTTTTTCTGTGAAGTTGATGATGATTACATCCAAGATGACTTTAACCTGTGCGGTCTAAGCAGCCTTGTTCCGTATTATGACTACGCACTTGATCTGATTCTAGATGTTGAATCTTCTCATGGTGAGTTTTGTGTTTTCAGATTGGAGCATTTCTTTCTGCTCTATGCGATGATTTGCACGTCTGAATGCACGTTACAGTTTCTCTTGCTGTCATGATTGTCCATTAATTGATTGGCCTGATTCGTTTCTCTCTGTTCTCTTAGTTAGCATTTGTAGTTAATGAAAATTAGACAGACCATATTACTAATGGTTTTGCATTTAGAGAGATTTGTTTTCCGTTATGGATCTAATAATTATGTTAGCTGATCCCTATCAAAAAAGTAATTATGTTAGCTGATATTTGATACTCTCTTAGGTCGAATGTCTTAATAATTTGTCTTACGTGCATATATTGTAATCTGCATTTGATAAGATGATTGTTGAATTAGTTTGCCATGTGTATTATTCTTGTTGTACTAGTATGCATCCCTACGGCTCTTATGCGTTGCTAGTTTGAAGCAAATCATGTCTTCTACTTGAGAGTTTCAAACGACACCAGAGAGGAACGGCATCTGCATTTGAATTCTCTGAGAAGTAAATGTTGCATTGGTGACTGGTCAAATTAAAATAGCTCCCGAGCATGATGTACTGAAAATGAGGACTGGTTTGCTGAGTTAGCTTCCAATATAATTTTGTAATCTAGTGATAAACTTGCCAAATGAACTAACCTACAGTCAAAGAAACATAACATTGGATTTTTAATAAGAATTTGTTGAATGTAAACATCTTATTTTGGATATGAAGTGCTGTTTAGAGTGGACTATGTAATCAGTATTTTTCTTGTATCTTAGAGGAGACCTTTGGCCTTCTATAGTTACAACTACTGTAAATTTGAAGATTTTTTTCTGTATAAGATTATACTGGCAACTTGATGCGAGAAGCATTTCTCCATGCCATAATAGAAGTCAGGTTAACACCAATAGGATTTAGAAAGGTCCTAGGCCTGTTATCTTGTGATAGTTTCTCAAAGGTCCTATGATCGATGAGAATGCCTGAAATGTGTAGGTGATATGTTTACAGAAGAACAGAATGAACTAGTTGAATCAGCAGCAGAGATGCTTTATGGTCTAATACACGCTCGCTACATATTAACAACAAAGGGACTCGCTGTCATGGTAAGAACTTTTTGTATCATCGAATAATATATGCTCTAATAGCTATAATAATTGAACATATCTGGTCTTTTCAGTTAGAGAAGTACAAGAATGCTGAGTTTGGGAGATGTCCAAGAGTTTACTGCTGTGGACAACCATGCCTCCCTGTTGGTCAGTCAGACATTCCTCGACAAAGCAGGGTGAATATATACTGTCCTCGATGTGAAGATGTGTATACACCTCGGTCAAGATATCATGAGAGTATCCTTTTTGTTCAACTTTGTTATTACTTGATGCAACATAGTTTAGTGCAAACAATATGT